ATTTAAAAGTGACTTCTGAGATGGTTCAAGGTCTTCAGTGCTGGCAGTTCAAATTGGGTCATTTCCTTCGAGCTGCCAACAGGCAGAAAGGCAAAGAGGTGGCTATTTTATAATCATTGTAATTACACAGTGGCCTTAGGCTTAAGCCACCCTCTAAACATAGAAACCCAACAAAACCCAGCTTGGGCTGTGCTAACTTACTGCTTGTAAAAGCAGCAGCTCTCAGCCAGGGCCAGCATCCCCCAAGCCCCATGGGGTGTCCCTCATGGGCAGCAGCAGGGACTTGTTTATTCCAGTGAAAAATACCTGGTTCTTCTTGCTGCTTCCACCGCTACATGGCACATCCCTGTTCTCTTAGGGCACTCAGACCATCACAGGCCTCCATGTTATCAGCCTCTCACCAGCAATGGGTTGGCAATGAAAAATAAAAGAAAACAGGATGAAAAAAGGTGCTGTAGTACGTAAGAGCACCCCTGCACTGCTCATACCATTGCCTACAGCTGGAGGCTGGCTAGGCAGCTGTCCCTGCAAAGGCTTGCAAGCACCTGCCTTCAGAGCTCAAAAAAACAGGGCAGGGCTCAGCTTGAACTTCACAGCACATCCCCCTCCCATGGAAACTGCATCTGACCCACATTTATCACTGGGATTTTAGTCCCCACCACTTTTTTTTCTTTTCTCTTGCCCCTCCCCCTTCTGTTCGCTTCCACCTATCTTCTGCTAAGTTTGCTTGGACTTACAAATTCAGCTGAAAAACAATAATAGTGGAGATGTACAGGCAGTTCCTAAAAACTGTCTGCAAAACACTTCATATTCTTTTCTCCTGAGGGGTGGAGAGGGTGAAGTATAGTCCTGACTAGGATAGCCTGTCAAAATAAATCCAGGCTTTTCTGTCTATTGGAACAATTCCTTTAGAAGTTCTTTTTGAAGTCACCCTGCAGGTAAACTACATCCTGCCCTTCTGCAAATACATCTTCTCTACACCTTTTACACATAAGCCTATTAACTGCTGAAACATAGTCAGAATGTGGTGTGATGGATTTAAATTTTTGATGTGTCTGAGAGGACAGGATTTATTCCCCCCCTACCCCCAATGTGTTAGGCTCACACCTTTCCACTATTGCCAGCTTCTTCCCACATCCCACACTGTTTCCACATTTCATGGACCTGTTGTCATTTGTTCCTTGTACTAAATTATGGTGCTGGTGTGCTGGGATTCCTGTAAAATGACAATGTGCCATATTACAGGAGACTTTCCCAGCTCCACTGTAATGGACAGAGTTATTTTCCAAAAATAAACCCTGTTCCTGTGGAAAACCAGGCTCTCCCTGCCCTGGTGCACCTCCTTCCAACACTGCTGACCATACAACTAGCTTGAGACTCTTTGTTCATGAGGCAGGCTAGCTCTGATTTTCTAAAATAAGTCTAAAAATCTTTCTTCTGGTGTCATTACCTCATATGTCACCAAATCCAGCCTTCCTCGGGACTTTAAAGTCCTTGCCCCTTAGTCAAACATTTATTTTCTTATGCTTGCGACAGCAGATACACTGTTTCCTGGTGCAAATTCCCATATCCTGCATGCACTCTATTCCTCCTGTCCTTGGCTAGCTTACAACATACAAATAGCCATTATCCTTTAGCAGTTTGGCTTTATCTTCCCTTGTTTTCCTCACAGCAGCAAACCAGGGCCACAGCCAACAGCAGCCTCAGCGCAATATGGTGCAGAGTCCACTGGTAATTCCCCATCCACAGAAGCCAAAACCCAGCAGCAACTCGTGCTCTGCCACACATTTCGTCCGCTCGTACACCTTTGCGTAACGTTATCCATTTTGCAGCATTAGAGGTGGTGTTTTATGTTAGTGCCTAACAAAAAACTCATTCCCATTACCAGTTACCATTTCTTCTACTATTCCACTCCAAGCAAGTATCTAGACCAGGACTGCTCTGACCCCACACCTCTTTCCTATCCACAATTCCCATAGATGTACCATATATAGTGTCATGTTTGGCCACAAAACATAGCTACATTAAGCAAATTTAGTGCAAAGGATTAGCAGAACTTGTGTTTAATGAAGAAACCTGCTTGTGTTCGGAAATAAAGCTGCTTAAGCCCTTTTACTTACTGGAGTGGTTTCTCACATTCCAGGCAGGCTTTAGGGTCTTAACATAGTTACACCTTTCTGTTTACTGATGAGGAAGCTAGGATGGCATAGAAAACACAAATAAGTATTTCACTTGTATATGTTTTTCCTCATCCTATCTATTCCTCCCAATAGACATTACATTCCACCTCTAGGATTTTTTTTTCCCTACTACTAAGTTTTTCCAGGCATTAGTACTTGCTTCTCTGCTGAGCCACCAAACCAGGACAGACCTCATCCTAACAGGGATCCTTGCTGGGTCCTGACTCACTTCGCCCTCCCTCCCTTCACAAGCATTACATCATTAGTCACTGTCGCCACAGCGTGTCCATGGGAAAAATCTCACTGTCACAAAGACAGTG